GCTCTTTAAATGCATACGCGGAATATAATGTATATAATAATAACATAGTGTATCAATAAAATTGATTTTATTGTAACATTCATATCATTTATAATATCGATATTACTAGATTTCTATATTACTTTTTATGAACATTTTTTATGCCGGATCCTTCCCGGTATGATTCAAAAGAATAATGGATAATAGCCGGGGTGTTTACTTGGTAAAATATTGTAGTAAATATTAAGGCTCTATCATGTCAAGTGGTTTTTATAATTACATGTAAATGTATCTGAAAAATACATCATGTTCATATACGGATAAATTTTGAATCACAACAAATTTTCCTTCTAGAATCTAGGTGAAGGTATTGTCTTATCCAACTATTTATGAGTTTCTTTCCATTTCTTAAAATCGAGATCGAATAATACTCCATCATTTCTAAGCCCTCATTTTTCTAATATGTGTGATTGAATTATTTTTGAAATTTGGTTGGTGACAATTTTCAAGTTGTCTAGGACGTTCACAAATATATGACGTTCTGCACCGAACCAAACTTTGAAAATTTCACTGTGTAGTTTTGCACTCCATTGTATAGCGATCCAGTGGAAATGATAAAATTTAATGGTGCATGAGACAACCGCGAAAATCAGAATATTCACAAATCCTTAAAGGACAAAAAATCAAAATAGAGTGCAGTCAACCCTCACATAATCACACCCTCGTGAAAAGGAAAATGGGCAACTTATTATGAGGTTGTAATTATATGTCATGATAGCTTGGATCAGAAAAAGATGTGATTGTAAAGAGGAATGACTATATGAGTATATTTTTAAAAACTAACGTCGATGCAAAATGTTCACAAGTCATAATTGTAGTTAATTTTATATCTTTATTGATTATTTAATGAAAAAATATCAGAATTATATCAAAATTTATAAATATCTTCTTTATAATATAATGAACAATCTTACCTATAATAAAATAATCAGATTACTTAATATTATTTTTTAATAATATAAGCTCAATATTTGTTGATCTGACTTATTTTTTTTATAATAAATTTTACTAAGAAAAGTGTAATAATAATTAATAATAATTGAATACAGGTTATAAAGAAGATGTGTCTTAATTATCAGGCAATTTTTAAATTTTTCATTATTCTATACACTATATTAAAAATTTCAAATATTTATGATGACTACTATATAAATAAATATAGTAAAAAATAATATATATTTACTAAATTTCAATATATATTTTAAATTAATTATTTATAAAAAGCAAAAAGAATTTTTTTGTTTCATATTTCATTTATAAATAAATAACAAGTATACACTTATCTAAAAGATCTCAAGCTATTAATAGATAGGACAACTAAAATAGTTTATTATAATAAAAAATAATCTATTATTAGATCAAAAGATGAAGAGAAAATAAGACTTGAGTGACAAATCAAAGATAGATTAATAAAGAATAACTATCTAATAATAAGATAAGTAAATAATAGAGCTTACAAAAAAATTAATATAATAACTTCAGAAATTTGAAAGAAAATAATTAAGCAGAATATTAATATTAATATATGTATTATATAATATTGTCTTTATAAAAAGAAAGATAAATATATAAACAAGCTTTTAAAATCTCTTCTCACAGAAAAATATTACAAAAATAATTAGAATAAACAAAAAAATATAGGAATTTTAACTAAAACAAGATGTTTTATTTTGAATAAAAGTATATTTTATCTAAATTAATATATAAAATAGTTTTGATAGTTTTTCTAAAAGATGAAAAATAAGTTATTTTATAAAGTATTTTCTAAATATCTATATATAAGAATATTTTTTATCTGTAAACTTTGATAAATTGATTTGTTTATAATAAATCTAATACTAATTTTATATAAAATATATATGAACCAAATTTTCTATTATCTGCTAATAAACTTTTTATTCAGAAAATTATTAGTGAATTTTTCAAGAAGGTAATAATTTCAACTATCATTCAAAAATTATAAAGATATAAAAAAAGAAAATAAATATAAAAGTTCTTTTATAACTATTAATTTTTCTAATTAAATTTTAATTAAAAATATCTGAAGACTTATGAAAAATAATCTAGCAAAAAAATTAGAATTGTTAAGAATTTAAAGAGAAATTACAAAAAGACTATAAATAATTATATTATATACTATTCTTGTTAGATAAAATAAGAGCTTTTAAATAAAAAAAAGATTTTTTATTTATTTATCTTCACATTAATTTAGAATGAAAAAGAAATATTTTTTAATTATTATATTATATTTAACAATATAACTTATTATTTTTTATTAATAAATATTATAAATTATATATCTTTTGAAATAATAATATTATTTTAAATTTAATATAATATTTAGAATTTATTATTTTCCAAAAAAATATTTATAATAAATAAAGCTCTTTCTATCTAATATCATTTATTATTTATATTATATTTGAATTTATATTAGTATTAAAAAGCTAAATTCAAAAATTTTTCATTTTCTTTTATTAATACAAAGTATTTTATTAATAAAAAATTATATTACAAATAATTATAGTTTCAAATTATTATATATAATTAAATTTTATAATATTTAAAAATATAATAATTTTATATTTAAAAATTAATTAATATAATATATTAATAGATTTTATTTTATTATTAAATAATTAATCTTATATATTTAGCCATATTAATTTTAAAAATTTAGCTTATAAACAAGATTTGAAAATATGATTAAATTATTTATAAAAAGGGTAACTTTTAATTATTTTAAAAATTTATATTAATACTTTTAAGAATAAATAATTAAATTAACAAAAAATACATATTAAAAATTTTATTAAATTATACTCTTTATAAAAATAAATTTAAATCTTTTAAATTAATAAATTAAATTTTATTTAGAACTGAAAATTTTAATTATATATTTATTATAATATAAAATAAAATTCGAGATTTAGAGACAAGCAAAAAAATATAAATTAGCATTATAACTTACTATAATAAAATAATTTACTAATTTATTAAAACAAAAATTTATTAACAATTAAAAATACATATAGTATTAAAGATCTAAAAAAAATTTATTTATCAATTTTTTATTGATTATTATGTTTAATAATTGAATTTTAACAATAATGATACATGATATGATCATGAATATCACGAGATTTTCTGTTAAGTGTGCAAAAATCGATTTTTGAAATTAAAAATAATAATAATTTACGTGATTTATATATTTAGGTTATCTTTATTCACATCATTGTTATTGTTACAAATGAAATTTTTGGCCAAAATTATACCTCTATATAGTTACGCTCTATACAGTCACACCGATTCCTGTGGATTATAAGCATAGAAATTTGATCTTCATATAATCACAACCTCTTTATAGTCACACTTTTTGATATTTTTGAAGGCATGATTATATGGCGATATAACGATAACTGTAGTTCATAAATTAATTGGCAAAAATAACAATAATTTGTTAAGTATAAAATACAGATTAATTTTATAATAGTATTTATAAAGCTGGGTATTATATAAATTTACTGGCATAATTACATATATAATAATTATTGAGACACTTCATTTTAAATAACTTAATGTAGGAAATTCAATTTATATTTTTGATTTTTACGAATATAAAATTTTTTTACAATGTTCACATAAAAATAAATAAATATTCAAAATTTTATTGAATCATAGTCATATAGTGAACATTAATTTGATTAATTATGAACAAGAGAATCAGTATGTGAACAAAAAATAAAAAATCCTGATTTCTTTCAAAATTTATGTTCACTATGAATATTATGAACATAACTTTTCAACACTAAGATGCAATTTGCTCGTTAGCCTGCTATTTACGTATGATATTCTTTGCACGCGAAATTATTACCAAGGAAAGCATCACTGAAAACATTACATATAATACGTTCGTTTAACGCAAGTAATGCAGAAAAAGTGATGTCGAAGTTGCGTGATTTCAAAATCGATTTCTACGTTCATGCAATTGACCGCGCAGTTGCGGTAAACCGTAAGTTTTGTAACTATACCGTTCTCGACGTTAGAACCTCTTAATCTATTGTTCACAAAACAGGCGGTAATCACGACTAATGATGATGCAATCTAGGAGAATCATGAAATTCGCTGACGAACATGTTAATGTAGTAATTATTAACGATTTATTCGCGAAAATATTTGTACTTTATCGTTATTTTTTTTGCAAAAATATCTTCGCTTAAATCTTGTGCTTATTTTTATTAAATAACGATATAAAGTAAATTTACTTAAGGTCTGCTAATTTCGCCGAATGAGAAATTCTACATGTATCTAGCGCTAAACATCATCGAAAAATGCCATTTTTTGAATAAATTAACCATATCTTTGATTTTGACCAAAACAAGTAATTTTTTAGTATTATTTAGCCCTGGTTTTACTTCAGATGAAACCTACCCTGTTCGACCAGTCATGTTTGATCCATTTCTCAAATCGAGATTGAATACCATTCATTTCATGTGATAACATGAAAAATGTAATAATAATCCAATAAAATTTAATGGTGCATAAAGAACCCACGAATATAGAATATTCAGCAATTCCTTAAAGGACAAAGAATCCTTTTTTTAAAAAGTCAACGTCGGTAAAAAAAAAATAATAAGTTTATGTCTATCTTGGTTTATCGTTATGAAACCGGAAACGTTTGATACTACAAGCCACAAACATGTATTTAAAGTTCGCAGTGAATTATATCCACAGGGTCCGTCTGATATATATAACAATTTGAGGTTGTAATAGTTGAAATTTTCTTTTAATATTAAAATTTTATTTTTGTCTTAAGAAAAGATATAACGACACTATCTATTTTTATACAAAATTGATAAATATAAATAAAAAATAAAATAAAATAAACTACATTTTCTAAATTTCTGATGCACCGGGATATATACCACTCACTCTTTCCGAGTACGACTCAAGAAAAGAATTTAGCATATCGTGATATTTTGACTCGGTAAAACACGATAAGACTCTAAGAAACGAGAAGCTTCTTGAATCTGGTGATGAAATTCTAAAATTATAGAGTCGCAGTTGGTGTTATTTTTATATGCATTAACTACATATTCATATGCCTCTTGGTTTATAATACTAGGTATATTTGTTTCTGGTTGTGAACACGATGATTGTAACGGCGGCAACGTTTGCGAAGGGGACTGTTGTAATTGTTGTTCAGCAAAGGGAAAACTTCCTGCTTCTGGCTGTGAATGTGATGATTGTAATGGCGGCGACGTTAGTGGAGTGGACTGCTGTAATTGTTCAGGAAAGGAAAAATCTTCTGCTTCTAACTGTGGATGTGAGGATTGTAACGGCGGCAACGTTTGCGAAGGGGACTGTTGTAATTGTTGTTCAGCAAAGGGAAAACTTCCTGCTTCTGGCTGTGAATGTGATGATTGTAATGGCGGCGACGTTAGTGGAGTGGACTGCTGTAATTGTTCAGGAAAGGAAAAATCTTCTGCTTCTAACTGTGGATGTGAGGATTGTAACGGCGGCAACGTTTGCGGAGGGGACTGTTGTAATTGTAGTTCAGAATAGGAAAAATATCCTGCTTTTGACTGTGAATATAACGATTGTAACGGTAGCGACATTTGCTGTAATTGTTGTGAATGTAACGATTGCAACGGCAACACTTGCGATTGTTGTAATGACAATGCTTGCGACAACGACAGTTGTGACGGCACCACTTGAGACAACGGCGATGTTTGTGGCAGCGGAGTTTGTTGTCGCGATTGATTTATTATACTTTTATATTTCTCATTAGCTTTTCTAGCCGTATCAAGATAAAGTTGTCGAATCTGAGGTGATTCGTTATTCCATGCAGTCTTAATAATTGGTGAGAGAGACATCATACTTTTACCCGGATTATTTTTAAAATAATTCATTCTATAAAGAATATAGCCGTTAGCAGTTTTTGTTGGTTGTTTCGGTTTAGCAAGCGCAATGTTAACTGCTCTGTTCACAAGATCATCATATGAAGAGGTAGGATGATTCATGTTTACAGTATACGCTGAAGATTTTCAATATCGATTTATACAAGTTTATTATAATTTGCTTTTGCAATAACGAGAGTTTACTATAGCAGGGTTTGTTAATTTCTTGGACATTTGAATGAAATTCAACTCCCTTATAACTATTTTTCAGAACTTGCTAAGCATACTTTTTCAAGTACCTAAAGGAGATATCATTGAAATATTTTTAAAAAAGAATTTACGATAACACGGAAATCGGATTACTCTACGCAGTGGAAATTCTATTCACACAAATAGAAAAGCGTGTGTGACCTTTAACAATACATGTACGTACATGTAATACGTAACGTTATTGATTTGCTGTTGAGTTTTTTCGGATTTTATAATTGGAAATGATGTGTAAATATTTGGTGATTGCTATATCGAAATAACGCACAGGGGCGTTATTTCGAGGCAAAGGTAAACCTCATATTCGAAATAACGCCACTGTGCGTTATACAGTATCCTCAAAAAGTATTGCCCAATTCAATATTATATATAAAAAAAATGAAAATATTCAAGCTATATACACATTCATATTTTATAGTAAAATTATGAGATCTAAGATGCAAAAACTATTTTAATTATAAAATCATGAAACATTTTTGATATATGTTTTACTATATACATGTACATGTAATTTCAGATTGGCAATACTTTGTGAGAATCTAATGCCTAAATCTGGTTTGGAATACTAATTAAAATTGTCGGGACAGCAATTTTACATATAATCTCGTCCTCTGCCCTAACCGTTACCCTTGTATAAATCATAAAAATCATTAATAGTAAACTCTGAAATTTAAGGGGATTGATCACATGATGGACTATAGCCGCAGTGTTGTACATGTATATTGAACAGCTTTTGAACAATTTGGATAAATAAAAATTTGCTTTGATACTTTAAATAAAAGTGATTAAAATCTAATTTTGACATATACACATATAAATTCATTGTTTATTTGTAGTTAATTGCCATGTAATTATAATTGATCGTGTTAGTTGTCGTTAATTATTATTATCGTTGCATTACACATGCATAGCATTTATAACTCTGTGAATGAACACTCTGAACTAACTACGAACTATACCTTCAAGTGTGCTGTTTTTATTAGTATCACTGGTCAAGTAAATTTTTAATAGGAACAAGCAACAGATGTGGTGGTGCTAATCATGATGTCAATTTTTTTTCAAACCATTGAATGATTAACAACATACTGTACATCGTCTTGAATAATAAAAAGTCGAATACTTGGTAAAAAGATGATTTTTAAAAGATTGCAGCTATAACAATTATAATCAGATGAATATAGATGAAATACATTGTTGATCACATTAGAAAAGACATATCCTATGACCGATATTAAGCACAAGATCTTGATTCATTTGTTTCAAAGGCTAAAATAAATATTTTCATTTAACAGATGCGCCGTGCTACTGATGTATTATTAAGAGCCATTTTTCGTAATTTCTGTCATACATAAAAAATGTCGGCGAAAAACCAACTTGCATTTGTTGGTCTGGGAAAACACGAGGTAAAATTATTACGATTATAATTATCGTTTGCTGAGCAAACTTTTCATAGCTTTGAATCTTCATCTCAAAGAAAAGAACAATACACCGTTAGCCAAAACTGCGCTTCTTGATGTTGGTGCTATTCTAGTGCATTCTGTGGCCGAAATTTTAGAAAGAGTGAATATTATCTTTACATCCGTTGCAAATTATCAAGCACTAGTAGATGTTTTATGTATTAATTTTGCTTTACCCAAAATAAACACCAAGCAAGGATGACAAAAAAGCTGCTTCATTTAAACTCAATAGTAGCTTTTTTATCGCTGGAATTATTGAGTTATTATCCGAAGGTTTGATCCTTGCCGAAAAACAGGCCTAGAACAAGATAAAATGTTAAAATTCATTGATACATTTTTCAGCATTACGGCATTTAATAATTACATACCGTATAAAAAAATTATTACAATTATCGATAATTTTTAGTCTGATCTATATTTACATACCAAGACGAATGATTCGCGAACAGCTTTCACATCCAATGTCGGATTTACTATTTAAAACGGGATGAAAGACCTCAAATATTTGGTGTTAATCAATTTATTTGCTTATTTAAGTGTACGTATATTCTATTATTTGAAAACGTTTCAATTATTGATTTGATATTCGAAAATTTAATTTCTGTTAGAGCCAACCAATCATCAGACCTTGATTGATCTTGGTGAGCAGTATGAAAATGAAATTCAGAATATTATGTGTTCTTATTTTTTTACAAAGTATTATATTTTAGCTGTGAGTTTGCGCTTTTCCTCTCTAATCAATAAATAATACATGTATGTCATAAATGAAATAATAAAAAAAAGATTTTCGTTGGAAGGCAATACCCATCGAATCACTAAAAATTTCATTATAAAAGACATATTTAGGTTAAAGTTAACAAATAAAGATAGGAATAAATCTAAATTTTTGCGCTGAGAATTCTTACTTAAATGGCAAAAAGACCAGTTATTTTACAAAGTTTGTGTGTTATAAATGATCTTTGTGATTGGATTGGTAGATTACCACGTGATACTACCTTGCTTTTATTGTAGATTCCTTAAGTACCAAAGTGAAACCGAAAAAAAGGGCGGTTCGTGTGATATCGATCACAATCTGTACTTCCGGAGTTCCGGAGTCTGCCTCTAAGAATACTCGATATAGTTAAAGTAACCGAAACTCACAATAAGTACTATTTATATTATTATCAAACTTTTAACTGTATCAGATAATAAAAATACAAACGAAATAGTTTAGTTCTACTTATTATATTTGTATTTATTTACGATTTAACTCGAGAATAAATAAGAATGTTCAAATAAACTCCTTTTTTGCGGAACACAAAATAAAGAATTGTTCCTACAATTGCTGCTACTGCTAAACCAATGCCAATATCAATAAGCAATATTGATTTGTAATTTTCAGGTTTACAGGGACAGAATTGGGAAATTCTTCTTTTTTATCAATTTCTTGTTTTTATAACTGGCTCTGGAATCTTTTTTTATTAATTTGATTCAAGAAATTATTATACTGGCTGACTGCTATTGTTTTTGTCATAAATTTTTGATTGACTTACTTTCCAGAAGAGACACCAATTGAATATTTATTTTACTAATAAGATCTTGATTGATTAATCACAATGCTTTATGTAGAATAGTAGAAGATTTTAATTAGTATTAGCATTAATAATGAGAAATGAAAAAGAGAAATTAGAAGAAATTTCAAAAATGAAAAATTACTTATCAATACAAAAAATAAAGATAATCCTGTAAGATTATTTGTTAATGATTGTAAACAAAATAAAATGCAAAGTAAATAGTTTCAATTTATAAAACTTATGATTTTTATTATTTGAATAGTATTCAGATCTAAGGTAAAAGTACAGAATAGAAAAGATATATTTATAGAAAAAGAAATGAATACAAAATATAAATAAATTAATAATACAAAATATAAATAAATTAATAATATAAAATATATGTGTATTAAACATAATTAACTTAATTTATATTTTCAGAGGACAACTAATCATAATTCAATAAACTAATGATAATTATAAATATAATAAATAATAATAAGAGAATAAATAAAAATATAAAGTAATGATTATTAATAAATCTAATTAAAAATATTAATAATTTAAATTTGAAATTATAAAATATATAATAATTATTTATACAATAACATATATAAATTTAATTATCATATTTATCTCAAAATATGCACAAATTTTTGAGATATATTTTGAGTTCTAAATCAAAATTGTACTTATTTTTGAATATACAGAAAGTATTGTCTAATTTATATATAAAAACTATTTTTAAAAATATATTTATTAAGTTTTCTTCTTTTTTTAATAATAAATATTATTTTATTTATCTTTTATTACTTTTTTCAATATTATAATTTTATTAGATTAAAAAATAGTATTATCTATAAGTAGCTTAACAAAATTAAAAAAGAAAAAGATTTTAATATATATAAATATTACAAATACTATTCAAATTACAAAAATACTTAAATATAATTCTATAATAATATATTATTTTTTAAACAAATATAAATAAATTAGAAAAATAAAAACTTATTATTTTTAGAAAGATATCTTAAACAATTATAAAAAGAATTTACTTATATATAAAACTAGTAAAAAATAATATATATTATTATATAAAATAGTTAATAATTTAAATTTTACTTATAATTTATCAATTATTATAAATATATTATATAATTCCAAACTTTATTCATATATTATAGTAAAAGAAATTTTATATTTTAGAATTATATATATATATATATTATATTAAAGGATATAAAGAAAAAAAATAAATTAGCTTATTAATAATTTAACTATTAATTCTTATATTAATTAATAAAATATAATATATACTTATCTTTAAATATGCTTATTTTTAAAAAATTTATATTTAAAAACTAAAGATTATTTGTATTTATTTTTGAAAATACTTATTTTAAAATAAATATAATAATTTAATATATTATTATTATAGTAACATAAAATTTCTTAATTCTATAATCTTTCTTTGATTATATAAAATTTTATTTTTCTATAATTTTATAATTTATCCTATAATTATCTTTTTTTTATAATTATATATTTATTTTTCTTATTATATTTACTCTTTATAGTTATATTTTTATTTTTAAATATTATATATTATCTTCTTTATTTGAGATTTATATTTTTGATTTATCTGTTATATATAATTTATATATTTACTAGAATAATATATTTGGAGATTCTTTTTAAATTTTTGATGAAATGATAAAATATTTACATATATTCACAATAATTAATATTTCAAATATTTACAAATATTCACATATATTCACAGATATTAATATTTTAAATATCTTTTAATATTTTCAAATATTTACAAATATTTACCTTTTTAATATTAATATTTAAACTATTACTACTTTAATTTATAGTTTTTTATAATAATAACATATATATTTAGATAATATTAACTAGTAATAATTTATATATTTGAAAATATATAAAAGAATCTGTTATTTTAGTCAAAATAAATAGTAATTTGAATTAAATTATTTGAAAAATATAATTAAAAAGCTTATTATTATAATAATAGTAATCTTT